TGTCGGCACTCGGCACGTCGCACGTGTGTGTTGTGTATATTATATTATAATACCACATAAATATATAATATTGCGATGGAGATTGAGTGTTTTCGACGACGTTGCACAAAATACAGGAAGCGAAATAATTGAACGGGAGTGGCGGGGGATATTCAATTGGGCAGCGGGTCGAAAGGAGCTGATTGTCGCTGCGGGTTTCTGAAAGCGAAAAGGAGGAAATGACATTTTATTAATAATGTTATGTATATAACCTACACACGATGTGACCATGTAAGCTCACTCAAAATACAAATAACATTTCGAGAGTCAGTTGTGTATAAACGCTATAGAACTAATGCAATGATATCTCCGAATGACATAATATGTTTACAAATATTAACAAAAATAAATGATAGCTTTATTTGTCGTTCCCGAATAGGTTATCGTTTGACAAAGTCGTACCTACCTAGTGGCTACTAGAAGTAGTAAATGTGCCGATACAGAGTACCGATGTAAAGGATCACTCAACGACGAGCACCACATATATAGTATGCGTAGGTAATCCTGCTGAATCTAATGATAAAAACGAAACTACAAAAAGTAAATAGACATCGATCTTATATATTATTAGATAGGTCTGAAATAATATACATTTAATAATGAAATTTCCATTATTATATTGAGTCTTTCACTTAAAAAAAAAAATAGTTTTAATTACTTTGAACTTAAAAATTATTTTTTTTTAGAATACAATTTCAGCTTTTATTGTTATTTGTTAAATTACCAACTAATAAAAAATACATTTTAATTTTCAGTTAAGGGTAAAAATATACATATTTGATATTTTTGCGTATGATTCGATGAAGAATTTTGATCAAATAATTATTCAGTTATAATAATGATTAAAAATATAACGTGTTGCAAAATATAATATGATTGATTGAAATAAAAAATAGGTCTTTGGAGCGTCGAAATATAATATTATATCGTACCTAAATCGGCTACATCATTAATGCTTATTCAAAATAAGCATCACCTGTGGGCAGCGGTAACAACAAAAAAAATATAAGTAATACCTACCAAGTGCTACACATAAAATATATTTTTTTAAATATATTATATAATATCTATACTGATATTGTAACGGTAAAGAATTATTTGAAAAAATCTGTCAACTCATCTTGGCACTCGGCAACCGTTTCGAGTTTTTGAAGAAAAAACAGTTGACTAAAAACCATATTTTTTTCAATGTACTATGGTTTTTGGAGTAGTTTTTAAAAAATTGTAAAACGTTGCCGAGTGCCAAGATGAACTGGACGGGTTATATCTATGTTTTTAACGCGCTATTATTAATTTTTGAGTCAATACAGACTTACTGTAGAACGGTGAGAATAGTAGGTTCATGCCTTGTGGTATAAATAGGTAGGTAATGGCATACAATCAATCTAAATGTTTTGAAAATGTCATTGCATGACTTGACATTGTGAATATAAAGTTATAAAAGATAACAATATACGTAAAAGTTTTAAATTCTCAAGTCAAATATTTTTGACAAATTACACAGGCACAACAAAATAGCTCAAATCGTTATTAATTTATTCTTCGTTGAAATATCTAATTTCGTAAAAATTGCAACTTTATATGTTTTTTATTTTTGTACACAACTGTACTATATTATTCAAATTGACAAGTTATACCATGTGTATAAAATGGTAATTTATACATTTGGCGAAAAATTCAAATATCTAAGGGCGTATTACCTACTAATTCATTTTTAAATTACAACAAAATAAAAAGTCGATTTTGTCAAAAATTGGCCCTACGTAAAAATTCCTGTTTTCCCTAATTGTTTTTTCCTAGTTATCATGAAATATACTGGGAGGCTGGGAATTTTTAATTTTTATCCCTTTATGCACCAACTGGATTGCCTTTCCTTCTAGAAAAGATATCGTGGTTGAAAACCGAAGTATTTTTGTTTTATTCTAGTATTCTACTATGGGTATATTATCGTGTGTTCAACCATACAGATAAAAATAAACCACACACATCATTGTAAAATCAATACAGTCATCGCATCTCTCAGAATCTAAAATAATAATTTATCTACATAGGTATTATAGGTATCTGTTGTGTTGCTCGCGTGTGTATATGAACCATGAACGATTGGTTCATTGGTTGAACTTTAATAGTTTAATTGTTTTACTAATTAGTTATTACTTATATCAAATTGCGAAATCAAATACTGAGACATTATATAGTGTAGACTTATATAGTGTAATAACTACCTATAGGTATTATTCTTTTTTTGTTGCGTATTATAACAATTTTAGCTCGTAATATTAGTTAAAACTTATAACAAATAAGTAATTAGTAGCTCAGCTAGATTAAAACCGTACCTAATCAATATTCAATAATACTATGAACTATTATACTGTTTTCTGTCCTATAGTATTATGGACCATTGTGTACACTGTACAGTAGGTATTTCCTATCTACTGATATACACATAGGCCATATAGCCATGTAGCACTACATAGTAGGTACTTACATTATTGTAATAACCACAATAATGTGATGACGACACGATACGCTTATTTTTTCTACATATTAAAAAATGTTGCGCTACTCTTTTATCATCATAGGCACATTATTATTTAGAATAAACACTAAGCCGTTAATGCTATGATTATACAATCATATACAATTTTTATGGACACCTGCACGACGTAAATATAAGATAATAATAGTATATCGATATTATTTATGATTCGTATCGATCTATTATAAATTTTAATAGCATTCAAAAAACAAAATACGCAATAAGTAATAACCATATGGGTAGATCGTAGATGTGTCGAACGTAAAAGTGCATAACATTACAATAAACAAAACGTAGATATATATCGTATACAATAATAACTAATAAGTATTAATAAAGCGCGAGAAGGATTTATGGTTGGCATCCAGAAATTGTAAATATAAATCTATCAATATTGCTAATAATGCAGAAGAAAATAAAGTTTGATTAATGCCTACTATATTGTTTTCGAATAAAATCATAGATAATAATACTAAACATATTATGGCAAGTATTGGCAACGGTATTTCTATCTTAGCATACGTAATGTTATTTTCAATAAACGATTCAACGTCTTAGCAGACTTACCATACACGTCTTTCAGGCCAGTATGATAGAAAGAGAAATTTGGTTCCTATAGTTTTTCTCTCCCCACGGGTACACTTTTGAGAAATCAATAATTAAAATAAATATTTAGAAGCAAACATTAAGATCGAGTGGCTCAATTTGAGTATTTTTTTAAGGGTGCCAAAATCTAAGGTTGTTAAATGAAGGTATAAAATGATCATAACTTGCTGTAAAATTACGAGTAAAATATCAATGAAAGATTCTGAATAGTCCATGATAATTATCATTAATAAGAGTGTCAGTGCTGGTTTTTCCAATTTTTGGCAATTCTATATAATTTGAAAATTATATTTTATATTTCAGTTGCCACTTTAATTATAATATTTTCCCACTTATCTACTACCCGATAACAATTTAGGGTGGGGATGGGGTATAATACAGTGTATTATATCAACAAAAATGACTTCACAAGAAAAACAATCACGCCTCGTTGATAATAATATGTTGGATTTTGATCATTTTTTTAAATGTTATACTCCTATTATATTACTACAGTACTACACTTATATACCTACCTATTAATTATTATAATGGTCGTTTATTTCTGTCATTCGAACATTGAACATATTAATTAAATTTTATACATTATTTAGTTTTAGTACATACAATAAGTAACAACTTAGGTATATTATGTTGATTTAAATGAGTATCAATGCGTATTATACAGGTGTCCCCAATGGAGTGTACAAATATTACAAATGTTGTACAGCCGGTATTATATAAATTCATTTTTATATTATTTATCAATTTTTATTTTTCAGGATGGGGCCTCACTCGGCTCAGGGTATAAAATTGATGCGGGGGACGGATCGGGAATCCAGATTTCTCGATGGGGCTATCCACAATTGTTGTCAAATAATCAACTTTTGATATTTCATCATAATTTAACCTGTATAATATTAAGTATAAACAATAAACTACTGCTACAAAGTGCATAATATGAGTAGGTATTATGTTCTGACAATTAAAATTTGATTATCTATGTCTGTTAATTGTTATAAATAGTTAGATACAGTGCCGGCCTGGGTGCCTACCTTATTTAGTTATCAAAATGTATGTACCTATACAATTTCAATATAAGAACATAATTTTATACTTAGTTTATTTGAAGTTAATTCAAATCTTTATTGAATTAAAAACTATGACTTTTTAAACATTATCTTCGAAATGCGGTTATTTTCAAATTCTACCCGGATCTCTTGCTCATTTACAAAATAATGTATTATTTTTAAAAATTAAAAATGTACGACAAGTTATTTATAGTAGTATGGGTTAACGAGTAGGCACCTATATTTTTCTGAGCTACAGATATTTTAATGTTATCTTACTATCGTATGATCGGAATAATACATACTTTCTTTTTTGATCTGTCATTTATCTGTTACTAATAATTGAGCTATTTTAACTTATTTGTATTTTTGTGCTCATATTTAGTACTGTCAAATAATGTATTGAGACATAATGTATTTTGGTTAAGAAAAAGTTAGGGGCCTAGGGCAGCAATCATTGCTTAGATTCAGTCAACACTGGTTAAATGCTTATTAAGCTACATTTTTATAAATTAAAAAATGATACAGACCAAAATATACAATTCGTAGGTAAATATTAAATAAGAAGAAACTAAACAAAATATTTATAAATGTTAACTCAAGTTAATTTACATATTCAAAAAAAATAATATATATTTGCAATATGTTTATAGGTACATTGAAATTAAAAATAAATATACATAAATAAGGTCATAAAATATTAAGTAACTTAACATATAAATTAATTAATACAACTTTACTATACAGCTTTGGTAATGAACACATAATTGGAATTTAAATTTACTTATTATACTTTACCAGTCTTTCTTTCATACAATGCTGAGACACATTCTTGTACATAATGCAAGCAGGAAGTTTTTATTAAAAATCCACCTGCAAGTTCTTGAGAACTTTCTCTTCTGATGTATTTCATATATCCTAATGAATCTAATTGTGTAATATCTGGACAGGAAGGGCCATTAAGTTGATGAGAAACTGGCTCATATTTGAATAATGGACCTTCTTTTATTGAGATCGATATAGAAGACTGATTGAATTTGACACCAGTTGAAAACTTTGTGAAGTTAATAGGTTTAGAAATAGGTTTTGGTTTTGGTACAGGAATTTCTTCCTTTTTATGTGTATATGTGTTAACAATGTCTCTAGCATCCGAATTAGAACGTGCTAAGCTATCAATCAATTCAGAATCTACTCGAAGTTTTTTAGTTCTTTGCTCAGCTTCATCTCTCAAAACTTCATCTCTTTTATATTGAGTATGCATCTTTTCTTCTTCAATTAATTCATCTAAGGCTTGTTCTTCTCGCTTTGACTTCATTCTGTTCCTCATAATTATTTCTTTGTTTTCTTTTTTATATTGATCAATACGTTCTTTTGTTTCGATAACATTAATATTTCTTACTAGATTGTAAATAATATCTTCAATTTCTATTAAATAATCATTATAATCATCTAAAGATTCAAAATCATCTTCAGTTTTGTTGAAATCTTGCAATATTTTTTTTCTTGTTTCTACTTCAACATCAATTGAAGCATCTTCAAACTGCTGAAGTTTAAAACCATTACGTCGTAGAGGAATAAGACATTTAGGGCAGGGACCAGAACCTGAAACAATAAAAATTATTATTATAAGTAAATTTAAGCTGAAATAAATAAAAATACATGGCTTCAAAGTTTATAGAACTATGCCATATAGCATAAACGATTAGTTTGGCAAAAACAACAACATTAATTAAAAAAATATAAACATTTAAACACATGATTAATGCTGTAGAAAATAGTGCTGATTAGTTTAATGCTGTTGTAATTTAAGAAGTGCTGTTGAGGCCAGTGGAGGAGGTTTATATTTTATCTTAGTAAGAATAAGGATGAGAAGGCACTTGTACATAATATCATAAGGGTTTGATATTTCAATTTAATTGGGAAATACTTTATGCACTAAGCAACATATTATATACTTGAATACCTAAATAGAAATATTTTTCTGCAAGTTGAATTATGCCACTATATTATAAATAAGACAATAATATTTATAAAGAAAGAATAGAAGAAACACAAGCAAACTATTAAGGTAAATTAGGTTAAAATATAACCTTTTCATAATTATAATTAGCATTTTTGGATAAATATTAAAGTCCAAATATTTTAATGCATATTGTATATTTACAAGCAAATTCCATAAATATGATTGTTTCCAAAGATTGTAAAACATATTGGTAATGCAATAAATAGTATAAAAACTTTTATGCGACCGTATATGTTGTATTGATTTAGGCATAGATTTGAACCAAAGCTAAATAATTAAATAGCCTGATCTTCGAATAGCCATAAGGTACCTAAATCAAACTAATACAATTTTCAAACAATTAAAAAAATATATGTTGTTTAGTATTTGTTTTATGTTAAGTTCAGTACTGTAAGACAAATTGGTAATGCATGAAAAATACAAGAAACAAATTTCCAGCGACCGTTAAGTCAATTATTAATCTAGGCATAGTTTTGAACAGGAGTTATGAAAAATTATCAATTCTCTGTCTTCGACTTGCCAAGCTCACTAAAATCAAGATATAAATACAGACTGGTTTTGACTTCAGTCAGAATATAAGTACCTACCTAATCTTTTAAATGAGAAAAACCACATTTGTTAGATTGAGTTCCTGTAAGACCAATTGGTAATGCATGAAAAATACAAGAAACAATTTCCAGCGACCGTTAAGTCAATTATTAATCTAGGCATAGTTTTGAACAGGAGTTATGAAAAATTATCAATACTCTGTCTTCGACTTGCCAATTCCAATATAATAGGAATACATAAATATAAATAAGTTAACGTCAGTCACAACGTAAGTACCTAATCTTTTTCCAAGTAATAAACCAAAATCAATATTACATTTTCTAGATGGAGTTCCTGTAAGACAAATTGGTAATGCATGAAAAATACAAGAAACAATTTCCAGCGACCGTTAAGTCAATTATTAATCTAGGCATAGTTTTGAACAGGAGTTATGAAAAATTATCAATACTCTGTCTTCGACTTGCCAATTCCAATATAATAGGAATACATAAATATAAATAAGTTAACGTCAGTCACAACGTAAGTACCTAATCTTTTTCCAAGTAATAAACCAAAATCAATATTACATTTTCTAGATGGAGTTCCTGTAAGACAAATTGGTAATGCATGAAAAATACAAGAAACAAATTTCCAGCGACCGTTAAGTCAATTATTAATCTAGGCATAGTTTTGAACAGAAGTAATGAAAAATTATCAATTCTCTGTCTTCGACTTGCCAATTCCTATATTATATGAATACAAATATATCTAAATACATTTAAGACCTAGGTAACAGCTCAAAGTAGACAGCAATAAGTAGCCGGTCTAACATCTTAAGCCCAAGGCACCCTAGACTCTAGAGATGCAGTTAATCGGAAGACACACAATCAACACATACTCAAAACACAATTCGGTGCTTACCTTTCATGAACGCCACTTCTATGCAATTTGCGCACATGGTATGCCCGCACACATTGAAGCTGAACACGAGGTTTGGGTTCCGGAACTTGGAGCTCATGCACCGAACGCACGCAAGCTCCTCCATGGCCGAAAATTTTGTTGTCACCTCATGTACTGTAAGAATACCAGAGACAGCACGGAGCCATCAAAAAACGTGACTTGGTATTCGTTAGGTTCACGCGTCCGGAAGTAACGTCAACGCGGCGTTTCGGCGTCCACTAGCAAGCGAAAAACGAAAAATAATTATAAAACAATATCGGTGTTATAATCGACTTACCGGATTGAAATGGTTAATATTTGAGGAAGATCCAGCGTAAACAATCAATAATAATAATTGACTACTGTTGACGTTTGATGGTGGCGACTGGAGAGTGATTGTGCGAACCGCGACGAGGCCGTCTTATTCCGCAATCCACGGTTCCACCGACGACAGTCGACGAGGTGAGAATCGGAGATAACGATTAACGACGCGCGACATTGATAACCGACGGTGACGGTCATGGAGACAAGAGCAGATGGTAACATGGAAAAAAATACGATGATATAATTTATATTTATGTAATGGTTAAAAAAACCAAACTTACAACGGCATCTGGCGGATAATACCAAGTTACGGAAAACTACTCGACCTCGTCGAAATGTAGAGCGGATCTGTAGTATGAAAAATAAAATAATTATGTTCATAAACTATTGTTAGTCTTACAAGTTACAACAAGTTATTACTGTTTTCAATTGATATGTGAATTCCGATATTCAGTATAGTTTAGCGAACACTCTTTTGTTATAAAGGCATTAAGGGGTATATTGTAAAAGATATTATGTTTTTGTCGAGGAAGAGGAAAGCGAAGAGGACATGAAAGACTTGGAAGTTGACGGTCCCTCCTTTCAATAAGTTAGCTGTAGCATGTAAGCTGTTCTAAGTACCTAGGCGTTAATGTAAATAATACAAATTGTATGCACGAGGAAATTTAACTACGACTAAAGTCTGCTAACAAAGCGTATTTCGCTATGTTTTCATTGTTTAAGTCTAGATTGCTGTCTAGAAATCTGAAACACCAAAGAGAAACTGTATACAACTTATTTAAGACCAATCGCTATCGTATGGTCGCAAAACAAGGACCAACGTCCAAAACAGCAGTGGACTACGATAAACGTAGTCTCGTGCGTGTTTGCAAGAGCAACATTATTCGAAGAAAAATGTATGAGTACCTTAGTACCTACCTGCGTACTGAGAGGTAATAATATGTTACCTACTACTATAATAGTAATATTATATTATTTTATAATTGTGATATGGATTAACTGTGATTATACAATTATTAGATTATCATTACTCATTAGCTTACTATCGCCGCTATTGGGTTCACGTGTTTCATAAATTGCAAATTAATGACGCGGTTAATGTGTTTTATAATATTATTTAAAAAAATAGATAGTCATTGTAGTAAAAAAACATTTTTTAATAATAAATATCCTATATGGTTTAGTTTGATGTTGGAAGATTTAATTTACTTTAAAAAAATTGTTCACGTGTTGTACAAACAAACCATTTCCTAAATTAATTACAGTAGATATTTTGAATTAGGTACTTGCAAAGTGTAAATCTCAATTCAAACACGATCATAATAATGACATTTATAATATTCGAAATTCTATTAAAACTAATCCTTAATTATTTTTGGAATTCTTTACCAATAAAAAAACTTCTTCATCCTTTCCGAACTCCATGATTTATGATAATGATCTAGCTATTTATTGCTGGTGGGTATAATGGTATATTCGTATTGTTGATCGTTTGGCTCATTATTTTTCCAGTGTCCATGAACATCAGTTTACTACCATCATAAATAGATACCTACCCATCAGTCACCCACTTACAATAATTCAGTTGAAGTAATCGTGTGTTGTTAGCATCACGAACACACTAAATAAGTTAGAAAATATCACTAATAAAACGAGTCCTAGCTGCCGGTCCTGACATGATTTCAAGCTGTTTCTTTATTAATTGGTAAAATACGTGTTAGCTGTTCCTTTATTATGTTTCTATAATTTATTTATTTCTAGTGGTTGTTTTCCATTAGATTAGAAAATAAGTTTTTTAAACCTTATTCAAAATGGAAAATATTCAACATGTATAATTAACTATTTCAATTATTCCTAAATTATTTGATTCTATTGTATCTGAAAAATATATCCAGTCATTACATCGCTATTAAATGATGATCAACATGGTTTTTCAAAGGCAAATCAACAACGACTGATCTTTTAATTTCTTAAAAATATTATTTACTAGGTATAGGTATCAGTATATTATGCATTTGCATCCGGATACCAATAGTACCTACCTAGATGTAATTTTTATACATTTTGCAAAGGCATTTGACAAATAAAGTCACCATACTCTTTCAAATAAACTGCATTTTATTGGTATTCGGGATCTTTTTTTTCTTGGCTGACTTCATCTTATAAACGAAAATGGTGCCGGGACCTCCTGACTGAATAAAACCCATCCACAACTCCAAGAAGTCCCATCACTGGATGGATTCTTCGCTCAAGTCTTCAGTCACTTTTATTAATCTATTACAACACTTACGCTTATTGTAAAAATTATATATTTACAGATTGTGTAATAAAACTAATTAAAAACAAAAATAAGACTTCATCTTATATAACCGACAAAAAGTAAAATATTAAATTAAAAAATATTCACTCTGATTCTTTTTATATTCCATTCATTAGGTAATGATTTACATTTCCTTAGTTCTAGAAAATATTTTCTTTTGACTAGGATATTTCGTTTAATAATATCGCCTCCTGATTTAGTTGTCCGTCAAATGATTTAAATTATACAATATCTATTTGGCGTAATTAAAATAAATTATCGTTAAATATTGACAAGTGCAAAGTAATGTCTTTTACTCTTTTACCAGATCTCGCTCACCAATTTTAAATGATTGTACCATAGATGATATTGTACTTCAGTGAATTTTTGAAATTTGTGATTTGGGCGTTACATTTGATTCACGTCTTTTTTCGACAAGCATTAGTTGAACATTACCAAAAAAATTGTCATCTACATTACGATTCATAACCAAGACATTTAAAGATTCTACTTATTTCAAGGCTTTAAAAATGCTGTATTCTTCTCTAGTGCGTTCTACTCTAGATTCTAAAATACAATATTCAATAATATGGTCACCCTTAACTGCTGTTTATCATATACACTGCCTTGAAGCTATCCAAAATCGATTCCTCTGTTTTATTTAATACAAATGTGATACCTCTCGTCAACCGCAATCACAACATATCCATGTTATTAATCCAATTAAATTTGACCAGTCTAGCTGAAAGGAGAAAATGATTGATATAAAGTTTCTATATAAAAAAGTCAATGGTTATGTAACCTGCTCTGAATTTCTCAGTTGATTTAATTTTAATGTTCTCATTGTCAAACTAGATTTGCAAAAATGTTACATATTCCATTTCCAAAAACAAAAAATTATTCACTTGGTTTGCCTATAGATAGAATGATGAATTAGCTAATGACGTCCGTGATGATTTATCTAACTTTCATTCTATTTAGTTTTTGTATTTATATAACTTCTTATTCATAAATACCTATATTTTTATATAATTAAATAAAATTGTATGTTTTTAAAAATATTATAATACAAATTATACTGATATAAGCTATACTGATATAAATGTATGTATTTTTTTATTGATCATAAACATCGACAACTATTACCATTATCATTTTGTAGGGGAGTTATGGTCGGTTAAGAAACAAGTGTATGTGAGACGAGGATTAGTACCTAAAAACCCGGGTGGTCAAATCCATCCGGAAATTAGCTGCGCCGGCCGATGCCTAAACCTGTTGGTGAATGATGCCAACCACCGAGCCACACCAAGCCTCTATCGATATTATTATTTTTTTTATACTGTTTTTATTATTATTTTTACTGATTATTCACTTTACATAGATTTAATTCCTATAACTAATGTAATAATCATAAAAAATGTTATTGAGTTCATCCCGTTTATATAAATAAATAATACATTGTTGATAAAATGGAATAGCTACACCAACACATGAACTCAAGGGTCGGATCTTGAATTTTTATTAGGTAACATTTTTGTTTTTGGATATTTATGTTTGTTCGCTTTAAAAATATGAACATCTACGTTATTAAACCAAAAACTGGTTCTTGTAAAGTAAATAATAATATAATATTTAACAATTTTTATTGATTATAATACGATTAAGTTGTATATTAGGCTAATCTGTTTGTTTAATTCAATAATGTTTTTGACTGAATTTTGATAATAAACATTAAGTATAGATACACTGTAGTCTGTAGGTAATATAATAGGCACACTTACAATAAATACTTAAATTGTGTTTAATATAGAGGACAATTTAATAAATAAATAAAAAAAAAATATATATATTATATATATAAAATATATATATATTTTTTTTCATTGAACTTAAGCCCAGCAATTAAGGCCATTAGCTATTATAGGGGTTATGAACTGTAGTAGGGGTAAGGGTGGTACGGTAGGTTGTTTTTATGATTCTTAGGGTTGTTACGATAGGTAGAAAACACGTGTATGTGTGGCAAGGTTTTTAACTACTACGAACCCGGGTGGTCACCCATCCGGGAGCTAGTAGTTGTGACCGTTAATTCTCCCAGTCGCATTCCGCGACTGGTAGCAGCCAACGCGCCACGCCAAGCCACAATAAAAATATTGTAACAACTTTCCCAAGTTTCATATTACTTAGGTGCTGGGTAACTTGTGTAAGCCACAAACATGTAGAATAAGAAGTGCGAAAAGATATAACTATAGTAGGTAACTATATTTTACCTAATTTTGACATATTATTATGTATAAAACTAATTAAGATTCGGGGTTTTTGTAACCTTGTAACATGACCTGACTATATACCTTATATGTATTTTTAGCGTAATTTCTGATAAAATTATTTAAATCTGACTTGCAAAGTTTTACGGCACGCCTTTATAAATCTGGCTGTAAAGCAAATGCAGCAATTTTGATTGTTAAGACTTGAACACCGGAACGATTCGATAATCTTGTTGTAATTTAATATTATTTCATATTGTGCGATGATAAAATATGATTTTAAGCCTGCAGTGCATGTATCATTGTTTCGTTTATGTGCATGCGTACGTTTAGTTGTACCCTTCAATCCATGTATGAGTCTAATATAAAATACAAAGTAATACTATGTAATAATGTTTCCTGTTGCCATTCTAGCTGCAGGTATTTAACGAAATCACCTATTTAGTTCAGACTGATAATTACATTTTACTGCACACTCTATCGTAGGTGTAGGTATACATACTTACAAATTATCAGTGCGTATGTATATATATATATATTTATATATATTCG